GGGATCAAGGGACAGCTGGTGGCCTTAGTAACGGGGAGCACGTTGGAACTGCCATAGAGTAGTCCCGCTGGCGGGGAAGTAAGCACTCAAAGCTTGCCTGCAGCAAGGTCTGGAGAAGTGGGAAGAGGAAGACAGAATGGAGGCGGCTCACCAGTATCTTTTACTCTAATTGGGAGCAGAACAGTGGAGGGGTGGGTGAAAGGAGACCCAGGCAGGGACGGGGGAAGGGCCTTGGTTTCTGCTGTGGTGTTTTAAGGTGAGATGGGGGAGAAAATGTCCTTGTGCTAATGGGACGAGCCAGTGGAACTTGCTTATCCAGAGAGGGAGCCGTGATGGCCAGAGATCCGGGTGGGAGCCAGGGCTTGAGGCTGCTGCCCAGCAGGTGGGGCTGATCCCAGAGAGGAGGAAGGCTGAGTGCAGGCCTTGGTTTTGTCTCCATGAAATGGGAAGGTCACCGGCTGGGAGTGAGAATGGGAGAGGAGGTGTTGGGGGCTTGAAGAGTGAGGCGGCGTGAAAGAATCACACCTGGGGGATTGTGTAGGTCCCGGCACACACACTTTACCCTCTGCATTCTGATGACATACGTGATGCCTCAGTCAGACATGGCCACTCAGCACTGAGCTGCCCATGCCGCGTACTCTGCCATTCTTGAGATCACCCTTGATTCTCTCAGTTGCTGCTGCCCTCCTTTGCTTGTTCAGGCTTGGTAGTAAGAGCTCAGGTAGGGCAGGATGTGGACACACAGGTTGGTTAGAGGGTACTCGAAAACACGAAATTTACAACAACTGAGTGAACTCAATTGATATGGATTTAAATCTTTTTTTTTTTTTTTTGTAACTTTCCAGTAGCATGTATAATTGGAGCACAGATGTATTTTTTTATTGATCCATATTGGGTATACATATTTAGGGGGTATATGTGATAATTTGATACATTCGTGTAATTACATCAGGGTAATTGGGATATCCATCACCTTACATATTTCTCCTTTCTTTACACTAGGAACATTCAAGTTATT